TTGTTCTGAAAAAGCACTAGGTTAGGGATAATAAAAAAAAATGATAAGAGTTGAGACATGCATGGTATAAAACCCACAAATAATAAAAAACATTTTTTTTTTCAATAACATATTTTCTCCCACAACACTAGAAATAACAACGTTGATAAAGAAGATTCACAAACAATAAATAAAACTCACGTTATGTCTCCCGCAGTGGAAGGAAACCCATATTCGTCAAACAAACGCATCAAATCACCAAACTGTCCATGAAGATCTCCAAAAACCTTAACGGGAGCTTTCAGCTGAAGAACGGTAGGCTCCTGCATGAAAATCTGCTCAGCAGCATAACAAAGCTCGCCAACCTCATAAGAGTCAAGAAAAAACTTTCTGTTGACAGGAGGTCTCCAGTTTCGAGGCCTCAACAAAGTCGATATAACCTGCAAGACAAACAATAATCAAATGTCTAAACGGGCAGTAAAAATAATAATGAATTATTCTTAATTGATAATAAAATAAATTTTTCATTTATATTACACACTCTGGTGACACTTGCCTTTTTATGCAAGCCTTGAGGAGATCTTTGCCTTGTAAACCTTTTAGTAGGATTTGAGTAATCATTATGTGATGGAATCATCCTTCTACTCTCGTTTTCAAATTGGTCCAGGGATAACTGTCTAACCATTCCTCCCAAGTTCCCAACAGCTTCTTTTGCAACAACTACCTGCAAATACAAAGAAGGTAAAGAGAGTATTTTATTTTTATTTTTATTTTTAGAAAGAAAGAAATATACGCTTGCAAAACTGCAAAACAAACAAAACCCCACAAAAAAGATTTTTTTTTTTTCTCGAGAAATTTACCGCTCTAGGGTGAAGCCGAACATCTCCCTCTGAATCGCTATAATCGGACATCGTGGTCTCAGCAGATTGCGAATTAACATCTGATAAGGATGTTTCCTCAACAGTGGCTGAAGCCGCCTGAGCTGATTGCCAGACGGCATTAGCAACCTCGGCCTCAGCAGCAGATGCCTCAGCCAGTTTTTCCATAGAATTTTTGTCCATACTGCATGAGCCCAAAATCAATTTAAGTACAAATACTCTGAATTAACGAGACTTGCAAAGAATGAACGAGACTAAGAACAGACCCAAGAAAACCAGAGGGTGTTTCAGATCTGTCGTCTGGGGTTGATGATATTGGGGAAAATGGACTTAAATTAGCAGCAGTGTTTGATCTTGGACTAGAAGGAGCAAATGATCTCTCTGATGCGGATACAGGGGAACTGATATCAGATTGAAATTGAGAGTTTTCGGCTACTAGAAAATCATCTAACAGCATATCTGCAAAACAAAACCGGATATCTTAGGGCAGTTAAGTATTGCAGAAAATAGGTAAGAAATATAGCAAGACGTGTAAACTGTTTGCAAATACATTCAGTTTTCACTTTGCAAGTAATAACCGAGTTCACATAAGCAATTTTAAAAGAATAATTGCAGCCAGTAGTACTTACTAAAGAACACTTTTCGCCATGCTCACAAATTGAATGTATCTTGTTTCCTATACTAAGTTGGGCACTCTGAGCTTTAAAGTTGGATTCAAAAGCTTTTGATTATCTGAAGTACTCACTTCAAAATGCCAGCAAATTACCGCTTAAATTTGCAGTCCAATAACTGCCATGGTTATTTTCGAACTCAAAATGACTACTCAGGGTCGAAATAAACAGATTTTTCATGGCTGCAGTTTTGCGTGTATAAGCAATACGACTACACGAGCAGATCACTACTAGGAATGCAACCAAACATGTAACTTCATGAACTACAATTTCCAAAAGGACGAGAGATAAATGCTAAAATATAAGACAATCCGTTTTCTGTAACAGAAAACCTCACCTCCTTTAAGTCCACCATAAATATATATTCGAACACCAACAGATGCAGCTGCATGGCGACATCGACGCATAGACTCCAAAAAGGGATCTGAGTCACTATGTCCTTTATTTACTCGTGAAGTCACCAGCCCATTTCTGTCGAGCCAAACTCCGGCTGCAGTATCCAGCACTTTTAAAGAGAAACAGAAGTAGAGATGTAAGGATATATTATTCATTTGGTAAAGTCCAAAAATATTCAACTCATGATGCTTGGATATAAGATTTTTTGGTTTTGTTTGAATTTTTTGGTTTCGTTTGGTTAATTTTGAAAAAAGTGGTATGGTTAGTTGTTAGTGGGATGTTGAATTTATATTAAAATAATATTTAAAATAAAATAATTAAAGTTGTTTTGATGTAAAAGTAGGAGAGAGATGATGTAAGTGATGGTTAGTTAAAATTATGTGAGTGGAGGAATAGTGAATAAAAGTTGATGTAATGTGTAAGAATGATTGATTGGTATTATTTAATTATATTGATAATATTGAGGATAATGGGGTTGGGCTAAAGTTGAGTTAGATTGAGTTTAAAAAAAAGTGATTGGTTAAAAATGATTGGATGTTTTTGAGAAATAATAGTTACCTGCAACTGCAGCATCGGCTTCTACTGCTCGTCCACCTCTAAGAGCACCGCCAGTTACATGCAATCTAGCACCGACAAAAACCTAATAAAAGGCAACATTCCTGATCATTCAAGAGGAAACCACACAGAGGACAGATCTATTTGCAGTTTATGATATGCAAAAGGTAAATCACATCACCCAGAAGCAAGGATAAAGAATTCTGGGGCTTGAAGCCATAAAGTTAAATTTGGGGTTGGGGAAATAAATTGGGCAAGGAAAATAACCGGGTACAAAAAGACTCTTTTTGTGCATTACATGCAAAATTCAAAACTCACAGGCACAACAAATGCTAATCAGATCAAGAAAGCGTCAATCTTCTCATAATCAGAAAAATGGGCTTGGTCCATTATGGCAACATATCATTTGAATTTGAAAGAAGCAGCATCTCGAACAATAAAGATTTAGATATATATATACTACTTACCGCAGCATGTTGATACCTTGACGAAGGTGAAACTCCAGGTGCAAGAGTCCACTCCCACTGTCCATTCCGATGCATAAGTAGTCCATAAGCATCTGCTAGTGGCTGTATAGGCCAAAATACAACAAATTTTGTTCGGTTAAACACAATCAACACTTTGGAGTAGCGAACAAGCAAACTATCAGCATGCGACAGAGTATGAACTGCAACTCATAGCTAGAATATAATAGACTTTATTTTCTGAGTATATATTTTACTCTTATATCAACAGGAAGTTTCAATAGGAAAAGCTAATTGCATCGCCAGAAAGAGATGCTTCAATTTCAAAGATGAAAGCTTCATTTTTCCACTTTTCTTAGGTATAATAGCTCAAAATTCCGTACCGTGCCTGAAGCATCTCTGCCGCCACAGAGCAAAAACATGCCATCTGACCGGGCACTAGCCGTTGCATACCTACAAAAATTTTCCATTCAAGTTTTAATGAGTTTACAAACAGAACATGTTGTGGATTGATTAATTATACCTCCAATCATCTATATACCAAAGAATGAAACGTAAAATGAATCAAAGAAGTTTGTCCATCAGCACTGTAAGTTCTTTTTATCTCGGAAAAGAAAAAAATCACACACATGAAAAGAAATGTAACAAATATCGCAAGCACTTCATCTTGCCATCATAATAATATTTCTACATCAACTAAAAGCGAAAACCGAACCTATATGAAAATTATGCACATGGGGGTTCATAATTTTTTTTAACTAATGTTGAGCCATAAAAAATAAAATAAAATAAAATAAAATAAAAGTTGATAGGAAAGCATAAATTACAAAGAACATACACTTACATTCTAGCAGAAGGTCTATCACCTTCCGGATTAAGCCTCTGCCACACATATGGTTTCTGTGCAGTATCTAAAACCCAAGCATCTGACAGCACTCTTTTACCTGTAGAAGAACAAGTGGTTTTCATAAACTATATTAAATAATAAGCATAAGCAACCGAAAAAATGAAGATACAAAAAAATCATAATAACTATCCACATGCTTTCCCTTGTGAATATCCAATCATCAACCAGTTACACCCAAATGCAAGTCTTTAATGACTCGAGATTGCGCTTCCACTGCACTATCGTGCAGGCTTCAACTACGAGGGATCCAGAATTAGTTATTAAGAGATCCACTGAGAATTCTAGGACAATTACATGTGAAGTCTTACCACAAACAAATTAAAAAAACACTAAGTACCGGAAATCTAATCTTAAAATGGACATAGTTCAATATCAAAAGGCTGATGAAATTAATTCCATCTATGCAATCAAATATGAGGCATCCAATCCCTGAGTTGCATGAATTTGGCACAGAACATAGTAAATACTAAAGATACAGCCATTTATAACACCTCCAGCACCCACTTTCAGATAACACCTAATGATGGCATTCCATAATAGATATTACTTAAATCTTCAGAATTCACTTAACCTCACTTATCAAATATTACAGAAATAATCTGATACATAGTAAATGCTTCACTCACCATCATTGCCACTAACAGTAACAAGATAACGTTGAGCAACCAAGTCCATGACATGGCCATATCTAGGCCCTGGACCCTGTCCTTGAACAACAACTCTGATTCAAAGAAAGAGTCAACCAAGTCAAAAATCAAGGAAAAACTAATCTTACTACAAGAAATAAGAAAATTAATTCTACTACAATATTCAAGATGGGATTATGTAATAATTGTATCAAAAGAACTAACCGGTGCCACTTGAACTTATCATTTGTCAAGTCAAGCACGTATAAATCATCTGTCGAATGACCTGCAGGACCTATCCCACCCTGCCAAATAAAACGATAGGCAATCCAATTTAATTTCATAAAAGCTTCATTTTTCATTTCATAAATTTATGAAAATCGTGTCTATTTTCTCTAATTACCTGAAAAACAACCATGGTGCCAACAGTTGCCGCAGCATGTGCAGCCCTAGGTGATGGCGGCTCACCCGCTGGTCGAAGTCTAATAATATCACCAAGTAAAATAGCCATTTACTCTACAAAAAATCTCACTGACTTGAACCAAAACAACAAAATTACACATGCTAACATCAACTCAAAACCACAAAAGATAGAAAGCTAACCTCGTCCATTTTCTGGTGAGAACATCATATGAATGGATAGAATTTGTCACTCCAGCTAGCCCTAAGGATAAGAAAAATTAAAAAGTACATCAAAAGGATTTAAATAAATAAACATAAGTATATCAGAT